AACTTCATGAACTAAATTTCCCATGACTTGAGGCAAGATAAATGTAGCTTCCCTATGCTTTGGTTTCCTTCCCTTTAAATGGAGACAATCATAGTACCTACTTCAGAGGGTTGTTGTGAGCATCTAATGAGATACTACAAAGCACTCTATAGAATTTCAATAAATGCTAGCTATTGTAACATTATTGCTATTATTTGTGTCCCAGTTGGTGAACTGAGAAAGAATGTCACTGGATGGCTGCCAAGCACTTGCGATACATGTATCCTATTTAATCTTCCTATCAGCCCTCAAAGGTGGTGGTAGCCAAGAAAGGCCAGCTTGGAGCCATTCTTGGGATCCCAGGGAAAGTAGCAGCCCTTGTAAGCTGTTTGTCAGCAGGCTTCAGCAACCACATCAGTGAACAGAGGCAGGCTTCTGTTGGCATTTGTTCAAAGGCTCACTTTTAAGGGTGCAGTCTTCTTGGCTCTGAGAATAGATTCATACCAGTACCTCTATCTTGAAATACCTTTGCTTTGTCCAAGTAACCTCCTCCCACACCGAGTACTAGAATCAGCTCAGATTTTTTTTCTTAATATTGGCAACACTTAATGCTACTTCTCTGTTCATAACATTTCATTTAATTATTTAAAATCTGCAAAAATGTTGTGTATATTTTACCACATTTTTTTAAAAGTCCCCAAGTGTAGACCACACTCTAGCATTTCTAAAAATAAAAATAAACATGTTAAAATAAAGTAAGAGTGTGTTTTTACTGCATTATGCATTTTTAATTGAAAGTTTCCCCCCACAAAAGAAATGATACTACAAACATATTTCACATGTTTAATAACAAGTTTCTGTTAAGCTTCACATTTCTCTCAATAATAGTTTTATTTTTTATACATTTTGTCATGAATTTAATGAAGTAAATAATTAGTATGGCTGTTGGGAGCAAATTAACTTCAGGTAAATGTTTTACAGATCTCAGTATTTCATTGTTTATTAAATTCTGAAGTACTGACCAGTGTCCAGTGTGAAATCCCATCTGGCTTCTTTGCAGAAATTAAAATTCATATTGAAATTCAAAGAACCCAGAATAGCCAAAACAATCTTGAAGAAGAACAAACTTGGAGGACTCACTCACATGTCCCAATTTTAAAATTTACCAGAAGCTATAGTGATGAAGACAGTGAGGTAATAGGACTGTGAAATAAACCATCCCATTTAAGATCCATTGATTGACAAGGATGCCAAGACCATTCAAAGGGGAAAGGACAGTCTTTTCAACAAATGGGACTGGAATAACCAGATATCTACATTCAAAAGAATATAGTTAGACCCCTACTTGATACCATGCACAAAAATTAGCTCAAAATGGATCAGAGACTTGAATGTAAAAGGTAGAATTATAGGAGTACTGCTTCATAACCTTGCATTTGGCAATGCTTTCACAATAACACCAAAAGAACCAGCAAGCAAAAAAATAAGTTGGGACTTCATTAAAATTTAAAAATTTATGTGCTTCCAAGGATTCCATCAAGAGAGGAAGAAAAAACCTAGAGTGGGAAAAATAGTTGGAAGTCCGTATAACTCAATTGTAAGATGATTGTAAAATGAGCAAAGAATCTGAATAGATATTTCTCCAAAGATGTACAAATGGCCAGTAAATGTGAAAAGATGCTCAACATCATATCACTAGGGAAAAACAAATCAAAACTACAACGAAACACACCACGTATACTGGGATGGCTATGATGAAAAACAGACAATAAGCATTGTGAGGATGTGGAGAAATCGGACCCCTCCGACACTGCTAGTGGAAACTGCAAACGGTGCGGCCACTTGGGAAAGTAGCTCCTCAAAAAGTTGAACGCAGACTATGACTCAGCAATTCCACTCCCAGGTTCATACCCAAGATAAATGAAAACATACATCCACACAAAAACTCACATGCATATGTTCATAGCAGCATTATTCCTAATAGCCAAAAAAAAAAAAATGGAAACAACCCAAAGGTCCATTGAGGGATGATGAATAAATAACAATGTAGTATATCCATACAATGGAATGCTATTCTGCAATAAAAAGGAGTGAAGTACTGATACATACTACAAGGATGAGCTTTCAAAGTACTGCTAAGTGAAAGAAGCCAGTCACAAACTACCACATGTCATATGATTCCATCTCTATGGAAAAATACCTAGTATAGGGAAATCTACATAAAAATAGAAAATGGGGCCAGGTGCAGTGGCACACACCTGTAATTCCAGCAACTTGGGAGGCTGAGGCAGGAGTGCAAGTTCAAGATCAGCCTTAGCAATTTAGCAAGACTCTATCTCAAAAAAAGGGGGAGGGGGCTGGGGATGTGGCTCAGTGGTTAAGTGCCCCTGCGTTCAATCCCTGGTGCCAAAAAAGAAAAAGAAAAAAAGAAATAGAAAATGGGTTAGTAGTTACCTAAAGTTGCTTCTGATGGTTGTACAACTCTGAGTATACTAAAAATCTTTGAATTACACACTTTAAATGGGTGAGGATTGGATGATATGTTATCTCAATAAAACTATTACAAAACAAATTTCCAACATGAGCAATTATTTGAAGAACGTTTACCCATTTGTCACACTATTTTGGTCTTTATTTTTTTTCCTAAAGTATATTCTTGCTTGCCTTATGAGTCTGACGATGCCAGTTGTAGAAGCCCTTAACTCTTAAGCTACTGCAATTTTCTTTGACAATCTGTTTATAATTTTCTTATGACTTCATTAGTTCAGTTTTTCAAATAATGGTTTTTGCCAGGCACAATGGCACACACCTATAATCCCAGCAGCTTGGGAGACTGAGGCAGGAGGATCACAGGTGAGGCCAGCCTCAGCAACTTAGTGAGGCCCTAAGCAACTTAATGAAAACTTGTCTCAGAAAAACAAAAAGCCTGGGATGTAGCTCAATGGTAAAGGGCCCCTGGGTTCAATGCCCAATAACCCCCCCCCCACAATAATAAGGGTCTTTAATCAGCGGTTCTGTCCAAAATGGATTTGTTGATATGTCCTGAGGCCAAGAATGACCCCACCCTACTCCACCAGTGGTCTGTTTATATTTGGGAGAGAACTTAGCAAGAGAAAGCATTTTCCCAGGTACATGGCATGGAGATTAAAAAGATGCTGGCTTGAATATAAAGCTATTCTGAGCCCTAGAACACCAGGGGAGGGATTTGGGGCTTTTAGGAACCTGCCTGTTCACAGAACTGAATGTGATGTTCAGGATCATGTTAGAATGAGTCCATTTACTTCCCTTGTTGTTTGAAATTGAAAAATAAGTGAGAAATGACTTGGTAACAGGGGTTACACAGGTCCAGGACATTCTGTGCTTCCCCAATCTCTTTGGAGGGTTTCAAATCCTCTCAGCTCTTACTTTCCGTATAGCTCTACCCACCCCTGACCTCCATGTTACTAGCCTCTTCAAGGGAAGGACCTAGAACTCAGGCTGAGCTACACTGTCTGCCAAATGAGCTCCAGCAAGAGAAAGCCAGGTCAGGCCTGCTCCTTTCCAAAGAAGTGTCAAATGTCAAGGGCAGGTGTTTTTGGATGGCACAAGGCATAGGTTGGAGGGTGAGAGGCTTCCAGGGTAGAAGCTACATGGTTCTTTTTATATTGGGAGCCCTGACCACTTCCTATGAAGCATGCAGTTAACAGGTCACCTCCAAGTGACCAGTGATAGCTCCTGGGCCAGCTGTCGTCAAAATGTTTCTTAAAAACTGGTAGGTAGTCTGAGATAAGGAAATTCTGTTGTGTTGGAGTTATCTGGGGTTCCTAAACATAGGAGACCTGCTACTTAAATGATCAGCCTGCCCCATGCATTCATCACAGAGTTGAGTAGTTTGCCTGAATGAGTTGCAGAATGGAGCCGGATGTAATGGGAGCTCTGGATCCCTCCCCACTCCCTGTGTTCTTTTTTAATTTTTGGTACTGGGGATTGAACTCAGGGTCACTCGACCACTGAGCCACATCCCCAGCCCTATTTTGTATTTTATTTAGAGACAGGGTCTCACTGAGTTGCTTAGCTCCTCACTGTTGCTCAGGCTGGCTTTGAACTCCCAATCCTCCTGTGTCAACCTCCCAAACTGCTGGGATTACAGGCACGTGCCACCAGGCCAAGTTCCCTGTGTTCTTCAAGCTAATACTCTACCCCACCCCACCCCCACAAGGTGAAAACTGAACAGGGAAGCTTTCCTACCTTTCCTACCTTGAACATTTAGTCCTTTGTCATGTACAGGATCTCAGTTGACCAGGACCATTGTGGGGCATGCCACAGGCTCCCATCTACCTCATTTGTACTGCCACCCAGTCTCCCCCATAACTTCAGCTACCTCTCAAGTCTTCAAGGCCATGGCTGAATGAAAATGTAACTACAAGCCTGCTTCCCTTCAGCATTCAAGCAAAGCTTTACAAAACTGTACATTCCTGTTTTGAATGTGGTTGAGCAAAAAAGATTTTTCAAATTATCAGGGCTGCTTTGTATTCCCCTGGGACTGCACCTTTCACAGTGTCGCCAAGACAGAGAGAGAGAGAGAGCAAGCAAGAGGGAGTGCAGCAAATTACCCCTGCTACTTAAGCTTTCATAAGGAAATTGGTTTGGGGGATATTTTCTTTGTTCTTATTTTCTTTGGCCCTCAGTGGGGGGAAAGTTCATTTTCTTTCATTGGAAACTATGTTGCTTTTTAAAAAATGAAATATTCTCTACCAAGCTCTGCATTTAAAAGTGCTTGTAACAGGGCCACACTTGTAATCCTAGCACCCTGGGAGGCTGAGACAGGAGGATCACAAGTTCAAAGCCAGCCTCAGCAAAAGTGAGGCTCTAAGCAACTCAGGGAAGTCAGAGACCCTGTCTCGAAATAAAACACAAAATAGAGCTGGGGATGTGGCTCAGTGGTTGAGTGCCCCTGAGTTCAATCCCGGGTACCAAAAAAAAAAAAAAAAGGTCCCTCCCATACCCATCCACCCTGTGGCAGGGCCAAGCTGAGGCAGGCATCAGGCACACTTGCTGACGCACTCCAGCAGCTCCATGCGGATGGCAATGCGGACGTGCCAGCCCAGTGGGATCAGGCGGATAAAGCGGGAAATGATGGGGGGCCGCAGCAGGTTCTGGACTGTGGAACTTCTATCTGAGTTTCCATAGAAGACCTAAAGAGAGGAAGGAAATCCTGTTACCATTACATCAAGGGAGAGAAAAAGACAACCAACTATTATCTGGAGTCAACTCCAACTTTGAACCATGGAAAATCCTAGAAAGTAGTTATAGTGCAAAGAATTTACAAGTACCCTGTAAAATCTGACATTTAATAATTGTCAGCACCTACATGCTTGAGGCATTTCTGAATATATGAAGACTTTTGGAACTACACCATCTAATGTGGTAGCCAGTAGCATCTATTTAAATTTATATGAATTAACATTAGATGAAAATTCAGTTTCTCAGTCACTTTTTTTTCTTTTTGTAGCACCAGGGATCAACCCCAGGGTCTCATCCATGCTAGGCAAATGCTCTACCACTGAGCTGCACCCTCAGCCCACATTAGCCACGTTTCAATGTATATCATTGGACAACACAGATATGAATATTTCCATTATTGCAGAAAGTCCTATTGGGTAGCACTGATAGAAAATACCTCTTGCCAGGTATGATGGCACACATCTGTAATCTCAACTCCCTAGGAGGATAAGGCAGAAGGATCACAAATTTGAGCCCAGCCTCAGCAACTTAGTGAGACCCTATCCTCTATCTCAGAAAATGAAAAGATCTCAGAAAAATTTAGTTCAGTGGTATAGCACCCCTGGATTCAATCCCCAGTACCAAAAAAAAAAAAAAAAAAAAAAAAGCTTTTTGACTCTTACTGTCAAATTTTGTGTTTTTGTTGTCTGCATTTTGACAAGACAGTTTAAAAAGCCCATATCATACTTACAAGAAGAATGTTCCCATGTTTCAAAGGTATCCCAAATGGACTCAAATAGAAACTTGTGCCTGGCTCTGAAGCTGTGAACCAGAGCTGAAATGTGTGTTCCTACTTTGATACTAGTGACAAGTATGTTTTAGACTTGGAAAAATATTTTTTTAAACAGATAAAAACTGGAGGGTGGTATCATAGAGAAAAAAAGGATTTGATGCATAGTGTTTTTCAAGAAGTAGCATGCAATGGAAGTAGCATGCAAAAAGATGCAATGGATGTTTGACAGTATTTCCAAAGAAATCATTCTTTGCATTCTTCCCAGAGTCATAGTGTTCTCTCCCACGACACGGGAACACTTCATTTCCTTTTGAGATAATCTCCTGAATTTGGCCTTAAACATCCACTAACCAAAGCTGGCCTTATCGCATTGACAAAGGTGTCAACAACATATACTGGAGGAAAGACAGCCTTTTTACAAACGGTACTTGGAAAACTGGATATCCATATGTAAAAGACTGAAACTAGATCCCTATCTCCCATCCTGTGCAAAAGTCAACTCAAAATGGATCAAAGAGCTGGACATGGTGGCGCATGCCTGTAATCTTAGCAGTTTGGGAGGCTGAGGCAGGAGGATCACAAGTTCAAAGCCAGCTTCAGCAATGGTGAGGCGATAAGCAATTCAGTGAGACCCTGTCTCTAAATAAAATACAAAATAGGTCTGGGGATGTAGCTCAGTGGTTGAGTGCCCTGAGTTCAATCCCCAGGACCAAAAAAAAAAAAAATGGTATCAAAGACTTAGGAATTAGGCCAGAGACTATGCAACTGCTAGAAAACACAAGGGAAACACTTCAAGACATAGGCATAGGCAAAGATTTCATGAATAGCTCTAATAGCTCAAGAAATAATAGCAAGAATTGACAAGTTGGATTGCATCATATTAAAAAGCTCCTACACAGTAAAGGAAACAATTAACAGTGTGAAGAGACAACCTACAGAATGGGAGAAAATCCTTGGCAACTACTCTTCCCACAGAGGACTAATAATATCCAGAATATATAAAGAACTCAAAAAACACCAAAAAATAAAAATAACCCAATCAATAAATGGGCAAATGAACTGAACAGACAGACCCTTCCGAAAAGAAGACAAATGACCAACAATTGTATGAAAAAAAAATGTTGAATATCTTTGTCAGAGAAATGCGAATCAAAACTACACTGAGAATTCATCTCACCCCAGTCAGAATGTCTATCCTCAAAAATAAAAATAATAATAAATGCTTGAGCTGGGCATGGTGGTACACATCTGTAATCCCAGCAGCTCGGGAGGCTGAGACAGGAGGATTGCAAGTTCAAAGCCAACCTCAGCAATGGCAAGGTGCTAAGCAACTCAGTGAGACCCTGTCTCCAAATAAAATACAAAATAGGGCTGGGGATGTGGCTTAGTGGCTGAGTGCTCCTGAGTTTAATCCCTAGTACCTAAAAATAATAACACTGGTGAGGATGCAGGGGAAGAGGAACCCTCATACACTGCTAGTGGGGATGTTAAATTAGCACAGCCACTAAGGAAGTCAATATAGAGGTCAAAAGCTAAAACTAGAACTACCATAGAATTCAGCTATAGCACTACTGGATATATCTGAAAGAATTGAAGTCAGCATACTTATACAGGTAACTGCATACCCAAGTTTATTGAGGCACAATTTACCATAGACAAGTATTGGTGCCCATCAACAGATAAAGGTATAAAGAAAATGTGATATATATACACAATGGAGTATTATTCATCCATAAAGAATGAAATTACGTAATTTGCAGGAAAATGGGTGGAGCTGGAGGACATCATTTTGAGTAAAATAAGCCGTACTTGAAAAGATAAGTATTGGGCTGGAGATATAGCTTTGTGGCCAAGTGCCTGCCTAATATGCATAAGGCCCTGGGTTCTATCCCCAGCACCACCAAAATAAATAAATAAATGAATGGATGTCAGGCATGGTGGCACACGCCTGTAATCTCAGCAGTTCAGGAGGCTGAGGCAGGAGAATCAAAAGTTCAAAGCCAGCCTCAGCAATTTAGCTAGGCCCTAAGTAACTTAGTGTGACCCTGTCTCTAAATAAAATACAAAAAAGGTCTAGGAATGTGGCTCAGTGGTTAAGCTCCCCTGGGTTCAATCCCTGGTATCAATAAACAAACAAATAAATGACATGTTTTCTCATGTGAAATCCAGAAAGAAAAAAAGATAACATGAGAAGGGAGACTATTCATTAGCAAGAAGGATATTGGGGCAGGGGAGAGAAAGGCTGGAAATGAAGGGGTAAATGATCGAAATGTGTTATCTGATGTATGACTATAATATAACGAAACTAATATGTACTAAAAATGAAATAACAGGACAGGCCTTGTCTGCCATGATCTTGCTTTTCTTCCCAGTAGTAACACCTAATGTTATCCTCTCTCAGCTGTCTGTCCTGGAGTTATTCCAATCAGGAACCGGATATAGAGGGGACTATGGAACAGGCTCCACTAGTTTATGCAAATATCAGAAGTGAGTGCCTCTTTCAAAGAACAATGACTATCAAGACCTGTGCAAGAAACACAGGGCTTTAATATGTGGATGCTAACCCAAAACAAGGGAGTGTGGCTAGGGCAAGAATAGAAATCCAGTGGATTATAGACAAAGGGGAATGAAGGAAAGGGAACGGGAGGGGAAGAGGAAGGACAGTAGAATTAATCGGACATAACTTTCCTAGCCTTGTGTTGGAATACATGATCACGGTAATTCTACAACACGTACAACCACAAAAATTAGAATAAGTTATATTCTGTGTATGTATAATATGTTTGTCCTGGAGTTATTCCAATATAAAATACATTCTACTGTCATGTGTAACTAAAAAAGAACAGCAACAACAAAAAGGCACGGGGCTTGAAATAGAATCCTAATATCTTTTGGAAAAGCCAACTAATAAGAACAAAAATGAATTTTTATGTCCAAGTATCAAGATGGTTTTTTCCCATTGTGTCCAAACTCCTCAACCTCATCCATGAATGTCATACTTTGCAGATTGTCATCAGACTGACCACAAAGCCTTCTCATTCTCAGCCATACAGGTCTGCTTAACCTAGTCAAATGTCAAAATGAACCTGGGTAATTCCTTACTCTTAGGCAAAAAATACTTAACATTTCCAAACAGGTAGTGAATTTTTAACTCATTTTTGTTCATTTCAAATATTTATAGTCAGGAATCTAATGTGTTTAGTTTGTGATGAAGAAGACTTTGGTCTCAGTTTTCAAAGATTAATAGGATATAGGGTTGCCCAAAAGTTTAAGTGTCTGTTCTTGCACTGGTGGAATCCTTTTAATAAACACTAGTGTGATTAGGCAGCTAACTTGCTAGGTTGTCAAAAGGTTTCCAGCATTCAATCTCAGATCAATAGTAAGGAGAGGCCATATCTATACAAATGCATGATTATCTACCTGTGTCTGTAATGGATCAAGCCAAACCCATGAAGCAAAGTGTGTTCAGTGATCCAGTGAGTTTGCAATACTCCCTATAGCCAGTCTTGGGTCTTTAGGCAACCATGCACTGATAGAAATCAGACAAATATTTCCTTTGCATAAAAGAGCAACATTCATTCACAAACTGCCAGGCACTAACACGACAACCAGGAAAGATCAAACTGAATTGCAGGAAAGAAGCACAGATGACCCACTCTGCCATGGGATTAGTGCTCTGACAGAAGGTGACGAACACAACACAGGGATAAGAGAGGAGTCCCCTTCGGTGTATGCCGAAGATGGGTTTTGGGTAAGCTCCACTTACCCGGTTGTTTCCAGTTTGGTCCTTATAGTAAATCCAGTTCAGGCTCTCATCACTCCTGTACTGCACACTATACTTGGTCATCCACTCATCGATGTCACAGCGCCCCTGGGTAAGGATCCCTGAAATCACCTTGATCTCCTTCAGATCTATTTGTAACCACTGGCTGCTGTCTTGGAACTTGGAGAGCCACGCACACCTGCCAGAAACACATCAAGTCACCAGGAGCCTTCCCCTGTGAGTGCCTGCAAATAGCCAGCAAGCACCAGAAGATACCATCCCCCAGTTCAAGTCTTTGTACCTGCCGTAACCCATGCGTCTTATCCTCCCTCACCTGACCATCTGTTATGGTTTGGACGTGAGGTGGCTCCCAAAAGCTCATGGGTGAGACAATGCAAGAAGGTTTAGAGGATAAATGATTGGGTTAGGAGAGCCTTTACCCAATCAGTGAATTAATTGCCTACTAGATTAACTGATGGTAATTGAAGGCAGATGGGGTGTGGCTGAAGGAGGTGGGGCATTATGGGTATGACTTTGGGTATATATTTGTATTTGGCAAGGGGCAACTCTCTGCTTTCTGATCATCATGTGAGCTGCTTCCTTCTACCATACTTCCAGCATGTTGCTCTGCCTCACCTTCAGCCCCAAGGGATTACAACCTCTGAAACTGTGAGCCTCCAAATTAACTTTTCATCCTTTACAGTTGTTCTGGCTGGGTCTTTTAGTCACAGCAGTGAAAAAGCTGACTAAAACACAATCTTCAAGTCTCAGATGAAATATCTTTTACTTAGAAAATCTTCCCTGGGCCAGGTACAGTGTTGCACCCCTGTAATCCAAGTGGCTTGGGAGGCTGAGACAGGAGGGTCACGAGTTCAAAGCCAGTGTCAGCAACAGTGAGGTGCTAAGCAACTCAGTGAGACCCTGTCTCTAAATAAATAAAATAGAAAATAGGGCTGGGTATGTGGCTCCGTGGTTGAGTGCTCCTGAGTTCAATCCCCAGTACAAGAGAAAAGAAAGAAAGAAAACCTTCCCTGGTTCCCAGGAGCAGTGGTGCATGCCTGTAATCCCAGGAGCTTGGGAGGCTGAGGTGGGAGAATTGCAAGTTCAAAGCCAGCCTCAGCAACTTAGTGAGGCCCTAAGTAACTCAGTGAGACCCTGTCTCTAAATTAAAAAGGAGCCAGGGATGTAGGGATGTGGCTCAGTGGTTAAGTGCCCTGGTACCTGGTACAAAAAAAAAAAAAAAAAAAGCCTTCCCTGGTACTTGCAATGGATGAGATCTCAGTTCCTTCTTCATTTTCCTCACAAGGCTCATCACACTTACTGAATAATCGGTTGTGTGCTGATGTGCTTACAGTCTGTCTGTTCCTCTAAACTGTGCACCTCCTGAAGGCCAGGACCTTATCCATCCTGTCCACTGCTATACCCACAGTCCTTGGCACATGGAAGGTACTCAGTATTTGTTGAATAAATAAGTGCATTCTGTGCCATTTGTTTATTAGAGAAACCTATTTTTTTTTAAGGTATATGGGAAAAACAAAACGGAAAACCACCTGGGACTGCACTACTTACCCAAAGCCTTGACTGTTGAGCCGAGCCTTGTTTGCAGTCCATGAGGAATACCAGCCCACATACTGCTCCGGATTGGAGCAGGTGATCTGGTCTGGTGTGACCTCCCCCGACTCAAAACCCAGGGGCTTGTGATATGGGCATTCTGGAAAGGAAAAACAACGCACATTCAATTCAAACATCCATACCTCTAGCCAGGCACAGTAGTACACACCTGTAGCCCCAGCTGCTTGGAAACTGTAGTGGCATGTAAGCCAAAAGTACAAGGCCAGACTGGGAACAGAACAAGACCCCCATCTCAAAAAGAAAAATTAAAAACAAGCCCTCCCACCACCACATCTCAGTACTCAGATGATTGAAGTAACAAAGCAACCTTATCTTGTTTGCAGTGTGGAAATGGAGAATGTTTTACTTGTCAGCAAGGAGGTTCACAAAAGCCTTCAAGTATTTACTGCTCATGCGGAAAGAGCATGAAGGATGAAGTGAAGGGATTGCCATAGAGACTCAACGTTCAGAAAAGCAGAGGGAAATGGTTCTATGGCAACCTCATGGGGGGAGGGGGATTTGAGAAATACTCCTCCTCCACCAACTTTGAGACCTAAACACTAAGAGGTACTCGGTAAAAGAGCATATTTAAATGTCAGACATCTTCAGTTCCCTCATTAGCTCGCAGGTTTAGCCATGCTGCATGATGACATCAGGGTCTCTAATTGTTCTTGGGCAGCAGATGATGCCAATTATAGGAATAAAACAATGGTGAGCCAGCAAGAAAGGCAATTATATATTGACTTCCCACTTGTAAATTGCTGTTTTCTCACCAGTCTAATGCAAAAAATAAAAATAAATAAAAATAGGTGAAGTATACCTGAGTGACTATTGAATACGGATCAGCTGAAAGACACTGCTTTTTCCAAATGGAAATAACCCAAATTGGGCTATCTGCTGTTTCCTCGTATCGACAACAGTATTGGGTTACCTGATCAGAGACTGCCAATTGCCAACCCAACCACCATTTCCCCCTTCTTTTAGACTAAAAAGGCTTAATTTTATTGGTGACAGCAATGTGGCCAGCTAAAGAGGCAATCGTTTGCAGGCTTTCTTGCAGTTAGAAGTAACCACATGACATAATTTCTGACCAGTGAGATGTAAGAAGATGTGTGCTAGGGATTTGTGGTCAAGTTTTGCTTGCCCCTTCTTTCTCCCAGTTGTCTAGATTGAAGGACCTGATAGCTGGTGTAACTGTAGCCATCTTCTACCATGGGGTAAGAAGAACTATAGAGCCCTCAGCCCTGATATTCTTTTTTCTTTTCTTTCTTTTTTTTTTTTTTTTTTTTGTACCAGGAATCGAACTCAGGGGCACTCAACCACTGAGCCACATCCCCAGCCCTATTTTGCATTTTATTTAGAGACAGGCTCTCACTGAGTTGCATAGCACCCTGCCATGCTGAGGCTGGCTTTGAACTCACGATCCTCCTGTCTCAGCATCCCAAGCCACTGGGATTACAGGCATGTGCCACCATGCCCAGCTAGCCCTGATATTCTTAAGCAACTCTCTATCCCATAGTCTTTTTGCCTTCTGAGTCAAAAACTAATTCAATAGCCACTCTTTTGGATATCTTTAACTTTAACAAAACCCAATTTTTAACTGAATTGCTATAGAAAACAAAGGGTAAACTTATATAAATACATTTGACTAATTTTCTGATTGTGAATGGTAAACTCCAAATGAGGCAAAAAAAATTATTTCCTCCATGTGTGCATGTGTATATTTGAGTTCAAGCTGAAGAGGTAGCCAGGTGCAGTGGTGCACACGTGTAATCCCAGTGACTCAGGAGGCTGAGGCAAAAGGATCACAAGTTTGAGGCCAGCTTCAGCCGCTTAGTGAGGTCCTGTCTCAAAATAAAAAGTAAAATGGGAATGGGGGTGTAGCTCAGTGGTACAGAATCTCTAGGTTCAGTCCTTAGTACCAGAGGGAATTAAAAAGTTGACATATTTACTGGGGTATCATCATCTGTAATAGTAAAATGGAGAACTGAAGTCTTTCTAGATAATTTTCAACAGTCAATAAAACTGAATGGAGCATGCAAAAGCTTGAGTGCCATCCTAAGGCTCCAGAGTACCTGCCAAGAGGGTCATGTCCTGCCTCCAGCAGCTGAAGACAGGACAGCACTAGCCTCCTCAACTTTTCTGCCGTAACGCACCAAAGGAATAGGCTGGAATTCCACCAGCATCTACAACTCAGAGGGGCTGGGGGAGAGGGGACAGTATTTGTAGTTTATCAAGTCTCCAAGACTGTGGGAGTCTATTAAAATAATGTCAATTCCTGGGAGAGAGAAGAGGAGTGCTTTTATGGGTCACTCAATCATGCCTTGCATGGTAGAATCATCAGGGGAGCTTGTTAAGAATGCAGTTTCTAGGATTCCATCCCCAGAGTTTCGCATTTTTAACAAGCACACTTTCAAAGTGCACTTTGAAAACCTTAGCCTGCCAGGGAAGGCGTTTTGTGGGCTGGAGCTTCAGAGGACTGAGTGCCCATGGGCTCCCACGCTCTTCTAGTTCCCCCAACTTCCTTCCAGCCTGGAAGACAGGCTTGAGCCACCTGAAGGAGGGGGGTGAGTCCAAAGCATCAGAGAGCAGGGTCTCAGTAGGGCTCTTGGCTGTTACTTAACCCCAGCTCTCAGCCTTTCTAATCTGTAAAATTCTAACTGTAGATATCTCTAAGGTCCCTTCATCTTTAACATTTGTAGCATTTGATGACTGAACTTTTATTTATTTATTTATTTATTTTGCTCAGGGCCACCAGCTGAGAGAGAGGAGGTGTAACAGAACAAGACCCCTTGTCACCACCCCTCCCAATCACCACCTTATGCCTGGCATTTTGCTCTTTCTCTATTTGCCCCTCACAACTCTTTACTTACTTATTTATTTATTTATTTAAGATGTTGAAAGACCTTTATTTTGTTTATTTATATGTGGTGCTGAGGATCAAACCCAGTACTTCACAGATGCTAGGCAAGAGCTCTACCACTGAGCCATGGACCCAGCAACTCCCTTACAACTCTTTTGTCTGCCATATTTCCCACATCTAATGATTAGGAGTAGACTCCAGACTCAGAGGGGCAATGTCCTTAAAGGCCTGGGAAGGCTTTTCTAGCTTTTCGATCTAAAAACCTGTTTATCGAGGCTGGGGTTATGGTTCAGCAGTAGAGTACTCGCTTCACACGTTCAACGCCTAGGGTTTGAACCTCAGCACCACATAAAAATAAATAAAATAAAGTTTAAAAAAAAAGCTGTTTATCCAGTTGTGGACCCTGCACTCTCTCCAGGGCATGTGACAGTTGTTTTTTCTTAAAAAAAAAATGTTTTTAGTTGTAGATGGACACAATATCTTTATTTTTGTTTATGGTGCCAAGGATTGAACCCAGTACCTCTTGCTTGCAAGGCAAGCACTCTACTGCTGAGCTACAACCCCAGCCCAACAGGTGATAGTTTTATCATTATCATGGCCTCAGGTGGCCTCTGTGAATCTAGACCTTACTGCCAGATCCCAAGTCTCAGCCCACTGATCCCTGAAGATTTTCCAGGGAATTATTTCCATCCGGGCAACTCAAAGAAGTTTGGTGTGTTGTACATCCAAAACAGCCCTTCAGTGTCCAACCTCCTGTGTGGTGCTCCAAGTCTCATTCCTTGATACCCCCAGAGTACAAGGCAGAGACTCTAGACCAGTGGGGCTTGGCCTGGGCTGCACCTTGGAATCATCTGAGCAGCTGGAGGTGGGGAGGCAATCAGGACAAAGCTACAGGTGATTGTAATAGGCATTCAAGGTCACGAAGGTCTGTTTAGAGCCAGTGAGGACCAGGATTGGTTCCCACTCTTAAGAAAAAGAATAGATTAAGGTGAAATAATGTTTAGAGACTATAGAGTTTGTAGAGTACATGCCTGGCCAAAAAGTAACAGATTAGGGGCTAGGAATGTGGCTCAATAGTTGAGTGTTTGTCTAGCATGCATGAGGCCCCGGGTTCGATTCCAAGCACTGCAAAACAAATGAACACAAACAAGTAGCAGGTAATATTAGTGATAGGGTGCATTCGTGAGTTGGGTGCCCTTCTGGCAAAGGAGGAAATCCAACACCATTCTACCTTATACTGACCCACTTCATTCTCCCACCTTGTAGACAGCATCCCTCAGGCTCATGGAGTTGGACAATCTAGGCCTGAACAGGAATTAGCTGATCCTCCCAGAGGAGAAGGTGAGAGCCCCCAGTTAAGGTAGCAGCCGCATGGTGGTGGACTCAGTGGGGATGTAGTCCCCTGAGAAACAGGAGCAGGGAGGGGTCTGGGAGCCCTGTGCTATGGGAAGCCTCAGAAGACCATGTGGGGATTCTTAGAAAGCTTGGCTCAGGAGGAAAAGGAGCCACCACTGCTCCCCAATGGGGCCTAGGGCCAGGCCAGGATCCTGCCACCCAGCCTGAACACATGTCCTGCCCCCAGGAAGCCCTCACAATCTTGTGGGGTTTCAAGTAGTTCAAAGTGAAGAAAAAGGACCTTCAAAAGACCTGTCTTTAGCTAACTGTAGGGGCACATGCCTGTAATCCCAGCAACTCGGGAGGCTGAGGCAGGAGGATCACAAGTTCAAAGCCAGCCTTAGCAAATTAGGAAGGCCCTGTCTGTAAATAAAAAATAAAAAGGGCTAAGGATGTGGCTCAGTGGTAAAAGACCTGTGTTTAGACTCCTCACAGGCCATAACAAGGGAGGACTGAAACTGGATTTGTTTTCACTTGGAAAAACAAAGTGTGACATTTCTCATGCTCTGTGTGCTATGAAATAAACTGCACATCAGTTATGATTGTGGTGCTTCCTGATTCCTCTTTTCCCCTTTCTTCCTTCTCTGCCTTCCTTTAGGTATGCCTGAGGAGTCTGGCACCTTCCCTTGAGGCTTCCTGCCACCTTCACCTCCTTCAGATCACCACCCACTTCCCCTGCCCACCCTGAGCTGAGTAAGGGGCTCCATGGTGCTGCCTAACTGTAATAGCTGTCACATATTGCTTCCTCTTGTGATTTTGTCAGCTCCCCATGTCTGTCTTTCTCAACATCCTATCCTCTGAGCCAAGCAGAATGCCTGAATGCACTAGGCACTTAACATAATCTGATTGGATGGATGGACAAAGGGATAAACAGATACAGTCATCCCATCTTGGGTGACAGCTGGGGCCAAGCAGAGAAATGGCAGATGCAGGAAGCACAGAACTCGAGGGGGAAGTAGAAATGAACTGCTGCAGCCTTGAGAATTCCCTCTGGCCTAATCAAAAAGCAACTGTAAATTGAGTAAAAGCTAGAAAGCAGCATAAATAATGTTGCCAAAGGCATTAAGGAGATCCTTATCAGACACAGTGAAAGTGACTTGCCAAATTTTTCACCCAATGGAACCTTGTTGTTGCAGTTATTAAATTGTTTCTATATTCATTTTACTCATAAGGAAAAACCTGCATCTTTTGTGGCTCAAGTGGCTCTTGATAATTAGATGAAAAATGTATATTTGTAATGTGTTGGTAATCCAGGCTATGTCTACTTAATGTATTGGGCTGTTTTATTCAGTCAATGCTTTCTGGGTTTGTAGGCATGATGGCCAGGCATGCTTAAAAAGAATGTTTAGGGTCAGAATGTTCAAAGCCAGAATTGGCAACTTAGCAAGGCCCCAAGCAACTCATTGAGACCCTGTCTCTAAATAAAATATTAAAAGGGCTAGGGATGTGGCTCAGTGATTAAGCACTCCTGGGTTCAATCCCCCCATACCGAAAATAGAAAGGTTAGGGCTGGGGATGTACTTGGTGGTAGAGCAGTGGCCTAGCATTAGGAGGCCCTGGATTCCATCCTCAGCACCTGGGCATGGGGGCGGGGGGGGGGGGCGCTGGGGGGAGTTAATGTAAAGAAATGCAGAGGGGGCTGGGGTTGTGGCTCAGTGGTAAAGTGCTCACCTAGCACGTGTGAGGCACTGGGTTGGATCCTCAGCACCACAAAAAAATAAAAACAAATAAAAATAAAGGTATTGTGTCCAACTACAACTAATATATATACATACATATACACACACACACATATACATATATAAACACACACACACACACACACACACAATAAATAAATAAATAAATAAATGAAAAGAAATGCAGAGGCCAGGTGGTTGTGGTACACATCTGTGATCCCAGCTACTTTGGAGTCTGAGGCAAGAAGATTGCAAGTTCAAGGCCAGCCTGGGCAACCTAGAGTGAGACCCTGTTGTCTCTAAATAACAGAATTTATTGGTGGAACAGCACCCCAGGGTTCCATGCCCAGTACCAGAAAAGAAAAACAAAATGGAAACAAAACAAACATAGTTCAAGGATATTCTTGGGAAGAGATTCTAGAGGGCTGTAAATATTATTGTGCCTAGATATTAGACATGAATATATGTGACAATATAGTAGAATATAGAATGATAAAATATACAGAATATTTATAGAACAGAGTATACGCTTGAATATGTTATAGAATGTAAAATCTAGAATGAAAGTGTTAGCAAACCACTGGAACTCTTATGCTTTTGAATACCTTCCCTACCCTAAACCCCACTCTCAGAGGGCCAGGGTAATCTTGGTTCAATTGTGGAAAAGGCAGTGTTAGTCTTTTTAATAGCTTTAGCTGAAGCTTAGGCGGCCATAATGCACCTGGCCTTCTGCTCCATGTGTGGGGCCCCCAGGCATTAACAACCATTGTGCACCTGTGGCCTCTGCATTGCCCCCTCCCCCCAAGGTCTGAGTGACCCCCTGTTCTTCTGTGCTTTCTAGGTTCTTCTCTCTCAAGGCCATCTGTGATGGAAGCACTCAATCTCAGGATCCAGAAAGACCAAACAGGATTCTTGACATTCCGATGATAATCTGAGGCATGGATGGGCAAGTGACTTCTGGAAGCTGTGGCTAGTCCTGATGCCCTGAATCATCTCATTCATGAAGGAACCAATTAACACAAAGGATCAACCACTGAACACTTGAGATTGTGGGTTTTTGGTTTTTTGGTTTTTTTTTTTTTTTTCTTCCCGAAAATATCTTTGTTGTTCGAAAAACAAAAATAAGGGCTGGGGATGTGTCTCAGTGGTAGGGCAATTGCCTAGCATGCATGAAGCCCTGGCTCCCATCCCCATCAAGGCAAAGAAAGAAAAGAAAAGAAAAGAAAAAAAAACAGTGGGAGAGGGGAACACTTAAACTAAAATGTTTCTCATTTTAGAACTTCAAATTCATGTCAACTGTGTAGGGGAGATACCTTGGGGACCAGGGTTCTCTTTAACACTAGGCCCTCTAACACTAGGCCCTTCTCAGTTTTACATTGATGGAGTCAGTGCAGCCAACCCACATAAATTATCTTTCCAGTTTCTTCTTAGAACTTTCTTGAAGTGGAATTTCAGGAGGTCTCATGTCTCTAGTGAAAAAATTTATTTCCACTAACTAGTAAATCTCTCCAAGGTGGAGTCAAGACCTTCATTTCTGTCTTCCTAATAGTGCCTTGCACCTAATAGGCACTCGATGAGAGGTTTAAATTGATTTATAAATGGATGATTAAGGAGGGCCCTTCAATTACACTAACATTTACTGGCTGCAGTAGTTCCTGCCAGGGAGCACAATGGGACCTCCTGTCGGAAAAGCCTGTGAACAAAATAGCCTTCCTGCTTTCCTCATGGGCCCCACTGTTCTCCTGGGGAACAAACTGAGTTTCAAATTGACTTCCTATTCCTTTTAAGTAAATAGGAAAAAGGGGGCAATAGAAGCCATTGTACCCTATCCCCCCAGCTCTGCAATTTGCTATTTTAATGCAAATTTTAATGAAATAATGAGAAGAGGCTCACAGACAATGCATGCAGCTACTCAGGCAATTATGTAAAGTGAATGAGGTTGGAGAGCAGTGTCCTAACTGCAGGGATGGTGGCAAGACCAGTTTCATACAAAATAGACCCCCAGCCATGGACATATTTGCTGGGACTGCCCAAGCAATTCTTTCCCAGAGCATGAGTGCCCTTCCTTGGAGGCAGAAGCTGGGGTAAGAGGGTGAAAGAGAAAGGAAAGCCAGACTTTTAGCTATTCTTTTGGCTATAGCTTGGTGGAGGGATATGTCCCAGTGGTAGAGCACTTGTCTAGCATACACAAATTCTTATGTTCAGGGGTGAGAATATAGCTCAGTTGGTAGAGTGCTTGCCTTGCATACATAAGGTCCTGGGTTCGATCCCCAGCACCAAAAAACATAAGAAAGGTCCTTGCGTTCAGCCCCCTGGGTTCTGAAACCCCAGATTCCTAGCACCAACAACAACAACAAAAAAACTGAACAAAGGTCCTTGCGTTCAGCCTCCTTATCCCAACCCCCAACACACAGGTTCCCAAGTCCAACACGGGATACTGAGATGGCTCATTTTTTTTATTCATAACAACCCTTAAGAGCAAGGGTCAGGGGCTGGGCTGGGACTCAGTGGTAGAGTGCTCGCCTGGCACGTGTAAGGCACTGGGTTTAATCCTCAGCACCACATACAAATAAATAAATAAAGGTATTGTGTCCATCTATAACAACAAAAAAGCAAGGGTCAGCAAATTATGTCCCTTAAACCAAATCTGGTTCACCATTTCTATTTAGTTTTTCTGTGGAGCTGGGGACAGAACCCAGGGCTTTGCACAGGTCAGGCAAGTGTTCCACCACTGAACTACATGCCCACCTCATTGTCTATTTTACAAATAAACTTTTACTGAAACACAGCCATGCTCATACATTTACATATTGTCTCTGGCTGCTTTCAAACTACAATGGCAGAATCTAGTACTTCAGAAAGAGACCATTTGGTTCACAAAGCCACAAACATTTACTGTTTGGTCCTTTGTAGACAAAGTATGTCTTAGAGAAAGGCATTCATATTCATCAGGATAGGCTACATTAGCTGCAGAGCAAATTGTCCCGGAAATTTCAGAGGCTTCACATAACAGGTGTATTTTTCACTTAGGTGACATCTATTGTGGGTAAGCAGCGGGTTCTGCTCTACTTAATAATCCAGGGATCAGGCTGGGGGGGGGGGAGAAAGAAAACCACTATGTCAACAGTTGTTTTCATGGCAGGGAAAGGGAGAGCCATAGATAATATGTAAATGTATGAGCATGGCTGTGTTTCAATAAAAGTTTATTTCTGAAATGGACAATGAGGCGGGCATGTAGTTAGTGGTGGAAAGTTGCATGCTAGCTTTGTGATGCCTCATTGGGAAAGTGGCCTGCTCACCTTGGCTGCCACTACTCAGATGGTACCACCTGACTGCAAGGAGGCTGGAAAATGTAAGGGAAGAGGCACATGGTTGTTTTGGTGAGCAGTGAATATCCACGCCCAGTGCTGTCCCCTCCATTGGACAGATAAAGAACCAAGTGGCAGTTCCAGAGTTCTGAAATGCTGCCTGCCATTGATTTATTTTCAGTCAGTTCCATTAATCAATTTCATTGAAAGTTGGATCCGTTTTCAGTCAGACCAGGTAGAGATCTAGGAAGCTGTTTTTGAACAATGACATCAGTGCAGTCTGTGGAAGCAGCAGCCAGTGTGAAGCTCTTGAGAGAACGCAGAGCAAAGTGTTGTTGGGAGCAGAGGTAATTCAGCCAGATTGAAAGGAGGAGCAATAGGGTGTTTTTGAGGACTGTTCCAATATGGTGAACCAAGAAGAGTAACACTCACCTGGTATGCAGTCTAAGGTAGCGCCTGCATTCCACAGAGCATTTGTTCCTCCTTGGCAATCACACTTGCATGTTTTTTGATACCAGGGGTCCTCGCCCTCATCCTGCACGCAGCCAGAGGAACAGGAAGTCAGAAAACTCGCAGGCAAAGGTAACTGTGGTCAGTGCCCATGGAAAGCTTATTTTCAAAGATCATGTTCTTTCCTTACATATTGTTTGAGTGTTTTGTTACAGTGGCAAAACTGTTACCAGCCTGAACATCTACTGTTGCCACTCATCTTTGATTCTAAGTAAACAAATATCTGTGGCCATGGGTGACCAGCTAATAATCTCTCAGACATATCCATGTAGAGGGCGGTGTTCACCCTCTGAGGGCTTGGTGATAGTCCTATATATTAATTCTGATTAATATGAATGCCTTTCTCTAAGACAGGGGTCTGTATACTTTGTCCACAAAGGACCAAACAGTAAATGTTTGTGGTTTTGTGGACCAAATGGTCTCTTTCTGAAGTACTCAATTCTGCCATTGTAGTTTGGAAGCAGCCATAGACAATACATAAATGTATGAGCATGGCTGTGTTTCAACCCAATGCAAGGTTGGACTTTTTTACATGTTCTGTAGGTTCCTATCCAGGGATCCAATTTTTAAAGGTACTGGATTTGGGATGGAATGAAGCTCAGTGGTACAATGCTTGCTTAGCATGTGGGAGGCCCTGGGATCAACCCCCAGCCCCACAATTAGAATACATAAAGGCACTGGATTCAAAACTGAGCATTCTGAGTTAAGATCTGGTTTACTGTTATTCTCTCATTAAAGCGCCAATCTTGCTGGGGGTGTGGCTCAGTGGTGGAGCTCTTGCATTAGCATGACCCTGGGTTCAATCTCCAGCATGGGGGTAGGGGTGGGGTGGGGTGATAGTCCTATATATTAATCTTGTCTAAGAAAATTTAAAAAGCAAGCTGGGTTCAGTGGCACATGCCTATAACCCCAGCATCCTGGGAGGCCAAGGCAGGAAGATGGCAGGAGGCCAAGGCAGGAGGAACTCAAGTTTGAAGTCAGCCTCAGTAATTAGGGAGATGTCTCAAAATAAGAAATAAAAAGAGCTGGGGATGTAGCAAGCTCAGTGGTAAGTTCTCCTAGGTTCAGGAGCATGGGGGCTTCAAAAGCTGTGTCCATGTACATTCCAGCCTTCTAACTGTGACATACCTCTGTAGATGATAATCCCAGTGTGGCTGAGCAAAAGAAGACAGGAAAAATGAAATTAAGAAAACAACAATTTGACAATATTATTCATTACACAGAAGCAAAAGGAAAATAATCATGTGAAAGTTAACAAAGCTCCTTCTGAAAGAAGTCAAGCTAAGCACCTATCTGCCAGGAAAAACATCCACAGATGCTGAGAAACTAGGGAAAGTAAAGTGAAACACAACAGGATGCTAATTACTATTTTTGTTCATTATGAAATTTTGGAAAATATATTAATGTAGTCAAGCAGGGGAGGAGAGACCATTTATATTTTTCTTCACCAAAGTCAACAATGTTTAGTGTAAATTTTCTCATTTTTCCTTTTTCTTCTGTGCTGGGGATTGAACCCAGGGCTTCATGCATGCTAAGCAGGCGCTCTACCACTGAGCTCTATCCTCAGCCCTTTCATGTGTATTTATTTATTTAGTTATTTATTTTGTGGTGCTGGGGATTGAACCCAGGGCTTCATGCATGCTAAGCAGGCGCTCTACCACTGAGCTCTATCCTCAGCCCTTTCATGTGTATTTATTTATTTAGTTATTTATTTTGTGGTGCTGGGGATTGAACCCAGGGCTTCATGCATGCTAAGCAGGCGCTCTACCACTGAGCTCTATCCTCAGCCCTTTCATGTGTATTTATTTATTTAGTTATTTATTTTGTGGTGCTGGGGATTGAACCCAGGGCCTTGGGCATGCAATGCAAGCACTCTACCAATTGAGCTATATCCCCAGCCCTCATGTGTATTTTTAAAACATATTTGAGGGCTGGGGTTGTGGCTCAGCTGTAGAGCACTCACATAGCACGTGTGAGGCCCTGGGTTGGATCCTCAGCACCACAAAAAAAACAAGTAAATAAAGGTATTGTGTCCCATTACAAAAAATAAATATTTAAAAAACATATTTGACAAGCTACTCTATAAATAATGTTGTGTCTTGCTTTCCTTTTCTATTTAACAGTGTTAGGTTTTCTCTTATTACTTTTTCATCCTCCTCCTCCTCCTCCTCCTCCTCCTCCTCCTCCTCCTCATTCCTGGTGTCTGTCTAATGTACTACTCAGGAGTTGATACCCAGTTCCCTTACCATGTCATAGTTAGATTATTTAGGATTGGGACATTGTTTAGAAATTCCTTTTTAGGTTTTTCTATAATTTACAGGGAATGCCAAACCACAATTAAAGTGTAAATACTATATAAAAATATGGGAAAACCGAAAGCATACAAAATTTAACATAAAACTGATATAAACTATCATCTCTGGAGTACAAATAAAGAGAATGAATACATAATAAGTAGGAAAAGAGTTTGTGTATATTAGTATAAACTGATTAAAGCTTCACTGTCCGGTGCAATAGCAACAATTTCCATGTGGTCATTGGAATTTAAAGTAATTTTAATTGCCAGGGTGAGGTGGCACATACTTGTAATCCCAGAGACTCTGGAGGCTGAAGCAGGAGGATTGCAAGTTTGAGGCCAGCCTCAGCAATTTAGTGTGAGATCCTGTCTTAAATTTTTTTTTAATTTTTTTAGTTATAGGTGGACACAATATCTTTATTTTATGTAGTGCTGAGGATCAAACCCAGTGCCTCACACGTGCTAGGCGAGCGCTCTACTGCTAAACCACAACCCCAGACCCTGTTTCAAAATTTAAAAAATTAAAAAGGATGGCTCAGTGGGAAAGCATCCCTGGGTTCAATTCCCACACAAACAAACAAACAAAAAAAGCCATTAAAATCAATTAACAAAATTAAAAATTCAATTTCTTGGGCTGGGGTTGTAGCTCAGTGGTATAGCGCTTGCCTAGCACATGTGAGGCACTGGGTTCAACCCTCAGCACCACATAAAATAAATAAAATAAAGGTATTGTGTCTACAATTTTAAAAATTTTAAAAAATTCAATTCCTTAATTGAACTACCCATATTTCAAGTGACTAATAGCCACATGGGCTACTGTAATGGACAGCACAGATGCAGAACATTTCCATCATCACAGAAAGTTCCATTGGAGAGTGCTGGTTCAAAGCTCAGAAAGGGCTCAGGAAATGCTACCCCCAAATACAGTCCCTTGGTAGATTGAGTATTTAAGCTGAAGGAAATTGAGAAAACTACAGAAGCAGGAAGGTCCCATTGATCTTCTATCCCTTTGCTCCTGAAATGAGTCACATAAATTCTCCTCACTTCTTTCTCCCCTGAAGTGGGCCATAGAAACTAAAATTTCCCTTGCTTCTCCTCCTCTGAAACAAGCCATAAAACCTAGGAAGGCCACTCTCTGACCTTCTCTACTAGACACCATCATTTGACAGGTGTTCTGCCCTATTCCCAGAAGGAAGGAATGTCACAAACAGGGATACCAAGAAGAATCTGAACAGGCTTTGCTAAGTTCCCCCCAGTTTATTACCATTATATCATACGTTTTTGTTTTCCAATTATTCTTCTGCATGACTATCCATTCAAGTATACAGACTTCCCTATTCCTTCCTTTCTCTCTTCCTCCCTCCCTCCCTCCCTCCCTCCTTTTCTTTCTTTCTTTTTTTGGTACCAGGGATTGAATCCAGGGGTGCTTTAGCACTAAACCACATTTCTGACCTTTTTTATTTTGAGAAAGGGTCTCACTAAGTTGCTTAGGGCATCACTAAGTTGCTGAAGCTGGCTTCAAACTTGTGACCATCCTGCCTCAGCCTCCTGAGCTGCTGGGATTATAGGTGTGCACCACTAGGTTTTTTTTTTTTTTTTTTTTTTGTATTGTTGGGAATGGAACCCAGAGCCTTGAGTATCTAGGCAAGTGCTCTACCACTGCTCCACTCCCAGCTCAGGGTCTGAAGGCTCCTGTGCCATGTCAAACTTAGTAAGTAAATTTGTATGATTTTCTCTTACTGGTCTGTCTTTGTTATAGGGAGTCTTGGCCATGAACCTTACAATGAGTGAGGAAAAGGTCATTTTTCTCCAGGTTAGCACCAAAGCTCCATTTCCCATTTATTTTAAAATATTTTTTCAGTTGTCAATGGACGTTTATTTATTTCTATGTGGTGCTGAGAATTGAACCCAGTGCCTCACACATGCTAGGCAAGTACTCTGCCACTGAGCCATAACTCCAGCTCACCTATTTCCCATTTTTTTTTGGGGGGGTGCTGGGGATTGAACCCAGGGCCATGTGCATATGAGGCAAGCACTCTACCAACTGAGCTATACCCCAGCCCCCCAACTTCCCATTTTTGACCAGATTCTTTTATTTCTTTTCTGACTATAAAGCAGCATTATATATAAAAGTGCCAAACAAAACCTCAGTGTAGAAAATGGGAAGTAAAAGTCCTTCCTTTAACTACTTGGCTATTTAAAAAGTGAATCTGATGCCCACAAAAAGCTTTTAGATTGAGAGTCTCATCTCTTCCATCATAATGATAAAAGCTATCATTGAAAAAATACATTTTTACCCATTCTGTGACCACTTTAGTGTGTTCACTGAGAGTCTGGCAGTCTACTGGAGCTTGGGCCTTCTGAAATAGAAGCCTCACTGTGCTGACAAGGGTCTTCGGTACGTTCAGAAGAAAGACCGATGCACAAGGTGACATTCCATGTTACCCACAGGCTGTGATTGGGAGTCAGGGGAGCATATCTCTTAGCCTGGGAAGATTCGGGGCCAGCCCACACCTTTGGCCACCACACTCCTGTCTCTCCTAGGCCCTTGTTCCACTAGTTATTCATCTGCTATGGGTTGAATTGATCCTCTCAGGTAGCAATGAAGGTTAGGGAGCGCCATCTTGGTGGACATCTGCCTTAGTACTTGCTATGGTCTGGATGTTTGTGTCCCTCCAAAATTCACACTTGAACCTATTCATCAAATGGCAGAGCCTATGGGAAGGGATTGGGCTCCATCCTCATGAATGGCATTAGTGCTCTTATAAAGGAGTCCCCAGAGAACTAGCTTGCCTCTTCTACCATGTGAGGACACAGTGAGAAGGTATCACCTATGAACCAGAAAGCAGGCCCTTGCTGGACATGAAATCTGCTAGCACCTTGATCGTGGACAATCTAAGTTGCTTAGGGTCCAGAACTCTGAGAAATACATTTCTATTGTTATAAATCACCTGGTTTACATATTGTGTTATAGATGACCAAACAGACTAGGAGAGTTCTGTGGTACAAAGCTCTGTACTGGCAAAAGTTACTAATAATGTATTTTCAAATCCAATGGACTTTTCCCAACATTGACCTTCTGTCTTCACACTGCTATGTTGGGTACTGTTAGTCCCTCACATTTTCCTTTTGTTTCTACTCTCTGGATAACCTGTTTCCTTTGAGAGCTTGACTTAGTCCACCCCGTAAATGATGCTAAACCTAGTTCATGCACTGAATGGCTGATTGAGTATCTCCCTGTAGATGTCCCTTGCTGTCTAAAACTGGACCCAACTAAGTATTGGCAAGGAAGGCTAGGGATCAACCCAAACTCTCATATGTTGCTGTTGGAGCATAAGGTAGTTTAACCTCTTTGGATAATGGTTTGGCCATTTATTTAGGTACTAGGGATTGAATCCAGGGGTGCTTAACCACTGAGCCACATCCCCAGCCCTTTTTTATATTTTATTAGAGACAAGGTCTTAACTGAATTACTTAGGAACTCACTAAGTTGCTGAGGCTGGCTTTGAACTCATGATCCTTATACCTCAGCCTCTTGGGCTGCTAGGATTACAGGTATGCATGACCACACCTCACTCAGTTAGACAATTTAAAGCTGAACATATATGTGCTCTATAATCTAGTGATTCCACTCCTAAATGGTTACCAACCAGAAATATATATATATATATATGTATTCTCCAAAAAACCAAAAGCATGTACAAGACTATTCACAGCAGTTATTTGTAATACCCAAAGCTGGAAAAACTTATCTGTCCATCAAGAGTAGAGTGAATACATCATGGTATATTCTTATTTTTTTTTTTTTAAAGAGAGAGTGGGGGAGAGAGAGAGATTTTTTTTAATATCTATTTTTTA